ACGAGTTTTCTCACTTTTACTCTTCCAATTCTCTCCCCCATCCCAGCCGAGGGAGTGAGCGAGCGGCTGCGTGATGCTCAGTTGCTGGCTGGGGTTAAACCATGACACATGGCTTTTTGCTTTTCAGGGCATGAGGCGTTCTTTCTAAAACCACGCAGGAGGGTGCACTGTTAAGCAGCTTCTCTGCGGAGTCCGGCGTGCAGGAGCAGCAGCGTGGCTCCTGAGGACGGCGAGCAGTGCTAGGGCACTCTGGTTAATGAACTGAAAACATTATTAACTCAGCCAATACCAGCCTAATGGGAAATCTGTCTCTGCATATGTTGCTTAATTTTTATATTATTGAACCAACTAGGAATTGTTTAATGAACAAAGCCAGCAGGAAACCTTCAAATAGCAGGAGAGTGAAGAGACATGCACTTATTTGCCAATTAATTTTGTGCATGCTCAAGCCTCTCAGGTTTCCTGTCCTGAACAGGGCTTTCCACTTCTTGTTTGGTGACATCTTCAGTTTCTCTAGGAGGAGTTTCTGTGGTCAGCTGGGGGCTAACACTGTGTGTCTACATCCACCACATTCATCTCCATGCTTCCCTTGTGACCAGCTGCATTACAGAAGCTGTTGCTCGGTCAACCTGGATCTCACTAATAATGACCACAACATCATTTGGACACGTATCTTCAGAAGGACTGAAGATCTTTTCTGCATTGTAGTTTTCTGACCCAGCTGTGACTGTTTTATAGGAAAGATTAAATCTGAAGGCACAAGACATGCTTGCTCTCTCCCATGAGAACTCTTGCATGAGAAAAAAACCTGTATTTTTAAATTCCAATGTACATTTATTGATCCATTTCTATGCTTAAGTCAAAGTATGGTTAATATGCCTGAATTTTAAAATACTTCCTCTAAATACCTGGGTTTGTTTCCATTCTAACCCTTTATTGGGCAGTGATCCTTTTTCGTTATATGTACTGGACGTGTAAAGTGCCAGGAAACTGCAATCCATGGGCTGGCTTGTTTATCTTATTGTCTCATCTCTGCTTTCTAGATAACTCAAGTGTAATCTGTAAACTCTTCAGAGCCAAGACATGGTCTGATATCTACACCCCAAATTCTACAAGCTCTGAGACACCTTGGATTCCAGAGACAAAACATTTATAATTCCTAAAATTATAAAAACCTTACGTATTCTCCACCAAAAGCTTGAAATTAGGAATGAACATGTTGTTCACCCTTTTAATAATACCTGGATCAACAGACAAGCCAACACATCCCGATGAGGGTAGGAAGGCTGTACAGAGGGACCTGGACAGGCTGGATGGATGGGCCGAGGCCAACTGTATGAGATTCAACAAGGCCAAGTGCCGGGTCCTGCACTTCGGCCACAACAACCCCATGCAGCGCTACAGGCTTGGGGAAGAGTGGCTGGAAAGCTGCCTGGCGGAAAAGGACCTGGGGGTGTTGGTTGACAGCCGGCTGAACATGAGCCAGCAGTGTGCCCAGGTGGCCAAGAAGGCCAATGGCATCCTGGCCTGTATCAGAAATAGTGTGGCCAGCAGGACTAGGGAAGTGATTGCCCCCCCGTACTTGGCACTGGTGAGGCCGCACCTCAAATACTGTGTTCAGTTTTGGGCCCCTCACTACAAGAAGGACGTTGAGGTGTTAGAGCGTGTCCAGAGAAGGGCAACGAGGCTGGTGAAGGGTCTGGAGAACAAGTCTTATGAGGAGCGGCTGAGGGAACTGGGGTTGTTTAGCCTGGAGAAGAGGAGGCTCAGGGGAGACCTTATCGCTCTCTACAACTACCTGAAAGGAGATTGTAGCGAGGTGGGTGTTGGTCTCTTCTCCCAAGTAACTAGCGATAAGACGAGAGGAAATGGCCTCAAGTTGCACAAGGGGAGGTTTAGATTGGACATGAGGAAAAATTTCTTTACTGAAAGAGTGGTTAAACATTGGACCAGGCTGCCCAGGGAAGTGGTTGAGTCACCATCTCTGGACGTATTTAAAAGACGTGTAGATGCGGTGCTTAGGGACATGGTTTAGTGGGCATGGTGGTGTTGGGTTGACGGCTGGGCTCGATGGTCTTAGAGGTCTTTTCCAACCTTGATGATTCTATGATTCTATGATGATACCTGAGTTCAGATCAGGCGCTGGCCTGTTTCCAGGCACTATGAGTGGCAACCTGTCTGAACCCTGAAAGGAGACAATACACTGGAAGGGATGGAGTAAATCAGAGATTTGCTTTTGACACAGCCATATAATGTCATGATAAAACTTTTCTTTTTCAGTTCTTATATGCAGAATATATACTCCTCATTGTGGCATATTTTGTTAAAACCCACCAACTTGGTTTGACTCTAGAGGGAGTTTTGCTTTTAGAAAGAGGCTTGCATAAACTGAGATACCAAAATTAATTTCTAGAACCAACCAACGAGTTTCTCTTAGTTGTAGCATATCACACTGCATTTTTGCCTTTGCTTTTTAGAAATTAAGAATAAATGTTCTTAAACAATTATCTTAAACTAAACAAACTGAAAGAAATGTAAAAAGTTGTTATGGGGATACAACTAAAATTCTGTGCGTAAGTTATATGCTGTAAATGACTTGTACTCACCCTTGTGTATCCTTTTGAAATATGTTAAATCAATTTTTGAGATTTCTGCAATGTGCAATGTATTCAACTTTATTCCACATAACATTCAGATGCAATGTTGGAGAATTTAAAAAAAAAAATTTATTTAGTTCTTCCATATATTTCTGTTCAGAGGAAGAGTTCCTAACATTAAAAAAGTCATAATTGGTAAGTTTAACTGATAGATTGGCAGTTGGCATAAACTTGTAACCAAATTGTGTTGAGTAATGCTGACAGACAGGTTGCAAATACCATACAGCTACTAAAAGAAACTAAAACATCTAATACTAAAACTACGATGGATTCATTAAAAGACAAGGTCAATTTAAACACTTACGTAAACAGCTCTTTCAACCTAAGATATGAGAAATTAGAACATGAGAAGAGAACATGAGAAATTATTTTAAGACCATTTTGTAAAGGCTTTTAGTTACGACAAAAACAGACTATAAAATTAAACAGAGTCTGATTCTTCAAGCCTGATGGACAAGTCTTCCCTGGCCTTCAAAGGAGTTCCTTCGTGGCTGTACTTTCCGTGTAACTTCTGAAAATGTTTCCTAACTGTATTTTAACTCCTAATCAATAATTTCATTTCTTTTTTACTACAAAGTTCATTTAAAAATAAGCATATCTGTTCTCTTTTTCCTCTGAACTTGACACCAAAGCCTTTGCTAAAAAATAAAACTTGAAATCCCATTTTTAGTAACTTGCTGCCAAAAGCAGATACTGCTGATTGCACAAACTCAGATACAAATGAGCAATGAGGAATTAAACTTCTAGATACACTAAAGCTAAATGAATCGATTTTTCCAAAAGAAAACCAAACAGCTTGTAGGAAGCAAGTCATTGGTAAATGAAAGAAACCACAAAAGCAATAAAGAACATCATAAACCTATTAACATTATACAGAATAAAATGTTAAAGAATAATCTCCATTCCAAAGTAAAAATGATTTGCCAAAATATTAACAGCAACAAGGAAAAGGCAGCCTTGCATTAAAGGCGGAGCTGGAACAAAGCACACTTTGGGTGAACACACACTTGTGATACAGATGCGTCTTGCTCGATTGTGTATTCAGTGACGGGAAGCTGGCTGCGGTACTTTGATACCAGTCCCACTGCCCCACCTTTGCTCCCATTAGCTATCTCTTTCTCGTAGCTCCCATTACTAGAAGCAGCAAGCAACTTCCAAACACACAAAGTAAACCAGCTAGCCAATTTCCTGTTGCCTGCAGAGCAGTGCATGAGTTCAGTTTGAGGGGGGGAGGCTGAGGCATTTACTGCATTTTATTTCATTCCAATGGTTTCCTGGGGAAGTAAAGGGACCCTTGGTGGTCACTGGTGCCTGATCTTCTAGACAGGTCTCTAGACACCCGCATACGCATGCTCTTGTTTTGGTGGGTGACTCTGGGTGCATGTCCACAGATGACAAGAATACGAACATCTTCTCTTTAACACAATTTAAATGAAAGCTCCAAGTGAAGGCCGTGGAGGGAAGAGTAGCACACTGCTGCTTTGCTAGCTT